ATGGAAGTGTTCAATTATGGAAAAATCAACGGAAACCATTTTGACATTTAAGGCCCATGTGACATTGACCTTTGACCTAACGACCCCTAAATCAATAGAGGTCATCTAATACTTATGACCAATAACTAGGTGAAATATGAAGACTTTGTGATGAATACTTTTCAAGATAATCAGCGGAAACCCTTTTGACATTTAAGGCCCCTGTGACCTTGACCTTTGACCTCAAAATCAATAGGGGTCATCTACTAGTTATGACCAATCACTATGTGAAATATGAAGACTTTGTGATGAATACTTTTCAAGATAATCAGCGGGAACCATTTTCACATTTTAAGGTCCCTGTGACCTTGACCTTTGACCTAGTGACCCAAAATCAATAGGGGTCATCTACTAGTGATGACCAATCACTATGTGAAATATGAAAACTTTGTGATACATACTTTTCAAGATAATCAGCGGAAACCATTTTGACATTTAAGGCCCCTGTGACCTTGACCTTTGACCTAGTGACCCCAAAATCAATAGGAATCATCTACTAGTTATGACCAATCACTATGTGAAATATGAAGACTTTGTGATGAATTCTTTTTAAGATAATCAGCAGAAATTATTTTCACATTTTAAGGTCCCTGTGACCTTGACCTTTGACCTAGTGACCCCAAAATCAATAGGGTTCATCTACTAGTTATGACCAATCACTGTGTGAAATATGAAGACTTTGTGATACATACTTTTTAAGATAATCAGTGGAAACAATTTGACATTTAAGGTCCCTGTGACCTTGACCTTTGACCTAGTGACCCCAAAATCAATAGGGGTCATCTACTAGTTATGACTAATCACTATGTGAAATATGAAGACTTTGTGATGAATACTTTTCAAGATAATCAGCAGAAACCATTTTGACATTTAAAGCCCCTGTGACCTTGACCTTTGACCTAGTGACCCCAACATCAATAGGGGTCATCTACTAGTTATGACCAATCACTGTGTGAAATATGAAGACTTTTGTGATACATACTTTTCACGATAATCAGCGGAAACCATTTTGACATTTAAGGTCCCTGTGACCTTGACCTTTGACCTAGTGACCCCAAAATCAATAGGGGTCATCTACTAGTTATGACCAATCACTATGTGAAATATGAAGACTTTGTGATGAATACTTTTCAAGATAATCAGCAGAAACCATTTTGACATTTAAAGCCCCTGTGACCTTGACCTTTGACCTAGTGACCCCAAAATCAATAGGGGTCATCTACTAGTTATGACCAATCAATATGTGAAATATGAAGACTTTGTGATGAATACTTTTCAAGATAATCAGCGGAAACCATTCTGACATTTAAGGCCCCTGTGACCTTGACCTTTGACCTAGTGACCCCAAAATCAAAAGGGGTCATCTACTAGTTATGACCAATCACTGTGTGAAATATGAAGACTTTGTGATACATACTTTTTAAGATAATCAGCGGAAACCATTTTGACATTTAAGGTCCCTGTGACCTTGACCTTTGACCTAGTGACCCCAAAATCAATAGGGGTCATCTACTAGTGATGACCAATCACTATGTGAAATATGAAGACTTTGTGATACATACTTTTTAAGATAATCAGCGGAAACCATTTTGACATTTAAGGTCCCTGTGACCTTGACCTTTGACCTAGTGACCCCAAAATCAATAGGGGTCATCTACTAGTTATGACCAATCACTATGTAAAATATGAAGACTTTGTGATAAATACTTTTCAAGATAATCAGCGGAAACCATGTGGTCTACCGACGGACAGACCGACAGACCGACAGACAGACCGACATTAGCAAAACAATATACCCCCCCCCCCCTTCTTCGAAGGGGGGCATAATAATAATCAGTGAGTAAATAAAGTATTGCAAAATCATAAACATTTGTCGGGCACTAATTTTCGTGCTTTTTGTACACAAGGTCAATCCACAAATTTAAGATCCGATGAAATTTCATTTTGTCCGCTGAAAGATTATTTCACCATGAATTATTTGCAAAAGCAGATGATCCACAAGTTTGATAACCCACGAAAATAACATTTTTGACAAAACATTGGAATTCACGCCCTTAAAGTTAATAATCACATGTTAACATGATATACACTGTAAGGGACAAGCTGTTGTTCCATGAACAAGAAACTTTACACTAATTGCTAAGTATTGGTTGGTTAAAGGAACAGATTTGATAAAGTTTCAATAAGCTTATATAGCTTCGAACACAATCAAACTGAAATAAATTTGTATAAACGAAACTAATTTCAGATTAGTTATGCAAACTCCTAGAGATTGATGTGTTGAAAATGTTCAAATATGCAAAAATCTATAATAAAGTTATACAACTAATATAGCACACTGGTATGTAAGTTTTAACACCTCCTTTACTTTGATACTGGATCATGAGAAAATTTGATTAAACCTAATCTAAAACAAGTATAACAATTACGAAAACAAATGAGCCGTGTCATGACAAAACCAACATAAAGGGTTTGCGACCAGCATGGATCCAGACCAGCCTGAGCATTATGTTGGTTTTGTCATGACACAGCTCAAATAATATATCAGCTGAGAAAAAAATCAAACCACACAGCCACAACTTCACTATACTTGAATCTTTAACAAACATAATCAAGATTTTTTATACATAAATTATAATAAATACTCATCTTTATAACATTAGCCATTTTATATACAGAATTGCCAAAAAATGTCACTTTATAATACAACTCATGAATTAAATTCACATTTACATTAAAGAAGCACAACCTAAAACAATTTAAACAAAGGAAAGGAAATCCCTGCATTTCTTACATGTCCAACTTTTTTTTATAAAATATTTAACATTTATGAAAGAAACACATCTAAAAGCTTTCTAAAACCAGAGGTAATACTTTATGCCTTGAGTATGAAAAGTTATCATTGTATCATTGCAATATTTTTAACATTTGTACCATTTTTTATTTTATTTTTTTTGGTTGGCCAACACTGTAGAGGACATATTATGGCAACTTTCCAGCTTGTCACTGGTGGAGGAAGACCTCAGGTGCCATGCCATGCATTATTTCAGGCATGAACCGGCACCCCGAGTATAAACACCAACATTCCGAAAGGTAGCTGAATATCTTAAAATATTCTAAGAATTCCAATTAACAGAATATTTTATGGTTAAAGTAAAACTAGTTTATCTGATTATCAAGAAAATTAAATCAGTGAACTGGCTTTGCAGGGATTCCTTAAAATTTCATTCACCTACAGCATGCTATGCAATCAATTATTTAAATCATATAATGGCAAACACATGTAGTACACAAACATAACACATTTTATACACACAGAAACAAAAAATTATGCTCAATATTTTATATGCTACACAGTAACTTTGACCAGACAACCTTTTTCTCTCTATCTATATATGTATATAATTATTCTATGCATGTATATATATTCATATATATGTTGTAAATTTATATATGTTGTAAATACGTTGTGTACTAATGAGACAGTACATTTTTGACAACCTAACATTTGAAAAAGGAAAATAAATACGGCCTCTTTCTTGGATACATTTTTTTCAGTTAAAAATTTTTCAACCAATTTGAAGACCAGCCACCTGTTTTACTTATAAATTATGTCATTTAATATACACCCGATTTCACACGCCTAATGATAAACTTCATACGATTACTTTTCATGGCATGTTGCCAAGCCGTCGGTCCCTTATCTCATTTTCGAAAACATTAAAAGCATGAGGTAAGAGTCCATCACAAATTATGAGATTTAAACAATCAATTTCTATATTCATTTTACAAGACGTTCTCCTATACTAGAACTCCGCGAGTCGGATGTGTCGCCTTGTGAACAATGTAGTTTAGGGGAAATGGCCAGAACAAAAATGAAATATGAAAAATAACAAAGGGCAATAACTAAAAAAATAATAAGTGCAGAGCAGCAGTTTCTGTACACTGCACTTCTTATCAATAAGATCTATCATTCTATGATGTTTCAAGTAAATAGCTTTCATACTTGAGGAGAAATGACCAGGACAAAAATAAAGTAAGAAAATCAACAAAGGGCAATAACTCAAAAATAAGAAATGCAGAGTATCAGTTCTTATGCACTGCACTTCTTTTTAATGAGATCTATCATCCTATGAAGTTTCAAGTCCATAACTTTTATACTTTTCGGAGAAATGGCCTGGACAAAAATTAAGTATGAAAATTAACAAAGGGCCATAACTCAAAAATTAAGAAATGAAGAGTACCGATTCTTGTGCACTGCACTTCTTAATAATGAGATCTATCATCCTATGAAGTTTCAAGTCCATAGCTTTTATACTTAAGGAGAAATGGCCCGGACAAAATTAAAGTATGAAAATAAACAAAGGGCAATAACTCAAAAAATAAGAAATGCAGAGTACCAGTTCTTGTGCACTGCACTTCTTATTAATGAGACCTATCATCCTATGAAGTTTCAAGTCCATGGCTTTTATACATTAGGAGAAATGGCCTGGACAAAAATAAAGTATGAAAATTAACAAAGGGCAATAACTCAAAATTAGGAAGTGCAGAGTACTGGTTCTTGTGCACTGCACTTCTTAATAATGAGATCTATCATCCTATGAAGTTTCAAGTCCATAGCTTTTTTAGTTGAAGAGAAATGGCCCGGTCAAAATTAAAGTATGAAAATTAACAAAGGGCAATAACTCAAAAAATAAGAACTGCAGAGTACCAGTCCTTGTGCACTGCACTTCGGGTTATTAAAAGAAGCATGCATACCAAGTTTGAAGTCAATCAGACTTATAGTGACTGAGTTATGCTCCGGACAAGCTTTAGGGGACGCCGACAACGACGCCGACGCCGACAACGACGCCGACGCCGCCGCCGACACCGCCGACGAAAGTAACCCCTATATGTCACCTTTTCAAGGCGACACAAAAAGTAACCCCTATATGTCACCTTTTCAAGGCGACACAAAAAACCACATCCCCATTTTGGTGAAATCAGGCTAAAAAATTATTCGATAAAATCAAAAAAAATTCAGCAGGCGAGGCTTATGTTACATTGTTTTCTTAACATGAAAAGTTAACACATATATACATGTATATATGAATAAATAATTCCATAAACAATTTCCTACACGGTTATCTCCTCTTAGCCCTGTACACTCGATCGATCAAGTATTTCGCAACAGATTTATTTTTTTTAAATTCTTCACAGTTGTGCATATTTAAAGACAGCAATAAAATAACCGTTCATGCATTCAACAACACTTAAAAAGTCAAAATTTTGACAAAATAAATCTCTTTTATGATACAGTATTAAATGATGACCGGTGGAACTACTTTTTCTTGGTGAAAGAGGTGCCCGCTTTAGATGAAGGACTACTTCCTGGCACATGTCCAAGTGATTTACGATTCAGCAAATTAGCAGCACTTTTCCTAGACCCGCGTCGTTTCTTGTCCATTATGAGTTTATCATGTCTAACAAATATTCCATGCCTTGGTCGACAACGGAAGTACGGAATCCCATTTACAGACCCATTGTTCTTTCCTGTAAATTTAAGAAACAACTTTTTTCACACCAGAAAACACAATGTTTACGACTGTCATAGACCTACATGTACAACGACTGTCGTAGACCTACATGTACGTACAATTGTCTTGCAATATCATTAAATAAGAGACAGAACATTTATTAATTTATCTTTTGGTTTCCTGTATCTTATTATTGACATTAAAAACTGTTAAACACAAATAAGACAGTTTCCCGAACGATATTAAACTGAATTACATTATTCGTATTTGGGTATTTGGATATTAAATAACGAGCATTTTTAACTATGAGAGGAACATACGACAAATCGGGACAATTTCAAAAAATTTATTTAAAACCTACTGGTTTCGGGTATGCACTAACCTTTATCAAGGTCTATAAAAATCAATTAATTAATTCAGATATATTCAAAAACTGATTTTAGTATTCAATTCCCTCTCTAAAAGAGACCTCAAAACAAACTAAGTGAGTACATTCTTACAGACATGTTTCCTTTTTCAATCTCATATAATAGTATAATCGTCATGTTAGTGAAGTAACTAGTTAACTGGTATTGAATTTCAATGGGAGTTAACTTGTTTTAGCACTAAGGTATTGCCACAAGTGTTATTTCAAATCAAGAATGGGACACAAATCTACCAACCTTCTGGTAAATCCAATTCAACGCCTACCCACGGGCCACTCGCAAATTCCACATTTCCAACAAACTGAACGACCCCCGTCATCTTTGAAGCTAATTTAGAAGTGGTTACCATGACACTTTCTCCAACCTGTATCCATGACGGCATCGGTACCTCTGACAGTCTATCCAAGTCTGCCCGGGAACCGAACGAACATACGCTCATAGAGTCTTCTACAAGGAATCATTTTAGTATTGTTATTCTTGCAAATTTTCTTATTTTCTTTACTTATGTTGGTTTGTCTTGTTGTAAAATGCATCTTTACAATAAAACTACATTATCTAAGTTACCTTAGTTTATTCAAAGCTTAAAGGCACATTATGCCTAAGAAATTAATTTTTCCCTTCTTTAGAAAGGGCAATTGGAGTTTTGTAAGGTTTAAATAACTGTTTTATAGCATTCCAAATGCTTAACACCTAGTGAAAAAAGCTCTGAATTTGAAAGTATTTGTCATACAAGAGGGCCATGATGGCCCTGAGGTCGCTCACCTGTATAAAGGCCCCCCCAACCCCCAACAAGTTTTTACTATATGCATATAGGGAAAATCAATGACCCCCCAGGGCGGGGCCAATTTTGACCCCAGGGCTTTTATTTGAACAAACTTGGTAGACATCCATTAGAACATGTTTCATGCTAAATATCTTAGCTCTAGCTCTTTGGGTTCTTTAAAAGAAGATTTTTTAAGTTTTTACTATATGCATATAGGGAAAATCAATGACCCCCAGGGGCGGGGCCAATTTTGACCCCAGGGCTTTTATTTGAACAAACTTGGTAGACACTCACTAGAAGATGTTTCATGCCAAATATCTAAGCTCTAGCTCTTATGGTTTTTTAAAAGAAGATATTTAAAGTTTTTTCTTTCGGTTGCCATGGCAACCAGAGTTCTGCATGGAATTAAATTCTTTGAACAATTTTTAAAGGTGACCACCAAAGGAACATTCCTGTGAAGTTTGGATGAAATTGGCTTAGTGGTTTATGAGGAGATGTCATTTAAAGTAAAAGTTTACGGACGGACGCCGGACGGACGCCGGACGAAAAGCGATCACAAAAGCTCACCCTGTCACTTTGTGACAGGCGAGCTAAAAAGTAGCAAAAGGCAAACAAAGTAGTATTTTGACTTCCACACAATACTAAATCACTATAACTGTACTTATTGCCAAAAACTTTTTTTTCTGAGTTCTGTCTCCAATCTCAGGATTTTCATTGGTCAGTGAACATTCTGTGGCAGTTTCTGACCAATCAAATACCTGAGATCCGAGTTGGATCTTGGAGAATTTCTTCATAACCTCGGTCCCAGGTATCAAAGGACTCTTATCTTTAACTTTCTTAAATGGATAAAAATTTGAAATTGAACAGCCAACAGTATAGAGCCTGGTCAGACTAGTAAGACCAGCAATTTTAATTATTATCATTTTTTATCTACTCTCATTACATACATGCTATTTAAGGGCCGTTTTTAATTTAACCCATATTTTCAATGTTGATTTTTATCAACACTATGCCATTCAATCAATTTCATGCATACCAAGGACTTTTAAGCACTTTTTTTTTCATTTTAAGCATTTTTCCAGAAAGGGGCTAAAATTTAAGCACTTTTAAGACTGTACAAACTCTTTTCTATACTGGTGGCAAAGGCTAATTACTTTGGGTTCTTGCACATAAAGGGTCAAAGAAATATATGGAAACGTACCTGACAGATGTTCATCCGAACAATCTAGACTGTTTCTCTTACTTCTCTCCTGTAACGACTGATCTAACAAATCATTGTCAGAAGTAACGATGCACGACACGGGTCTCGGCTCAGATCTAGTCCCAGCTTTTCTTTTCTCCCTTTTTATAGGCGTACTCTGATTCTCTGGCATCAATTTTAAACCACTTTTCATAAAACTATCATCTAAATCTTGTTTGTCTTTAACCTCGGTTTGATCAGAGCTACTTATCTTTCCTATACTTTTATCTTTTATACTATCAGTTGTTTCATTCATTGAGACAAATTCTGAATTATCAGGTCCAAACTCGTCCCCTAGTTTTTCTAGTTCTTCCATGGCTTCTAGACTGTAAGGATCTACACTGTCTGAGTAAAGAGGTCCTCTGGAAGCATTAGAGGAACTATCACTTCCTTTGGTAGGAAATTTAGATGGTTGTATGTAGGAGATTCATTTCAAAGTAAAAGTTTACGGACGGACGCCGGACGGACGCCGGACGAAAAGCGATCACAAAAGCTCACCCTGTCACTTTGTGACAGGCGAGCTAAAAAAGTAGCAAAAGGCAAACAAAGTAGTATTTTGACTTCCACACAATACTAAATCACTATAACTGTACTTATTGCCAAAAACTTTTTTTTTTCTGAGTTCTGTCTCCAATCTCAAGGATTTTCATTGGTCAGTGAACATTCTGTGGCAGTTTCTGACACAATCAATACCTGAGATACGAGTTGGATCTTGGAGAATTTCTTCATAACCTCGGTCCCCAGTATCAAAGACTCTTATCTTTAACTTTCTTAAATGGATAAGAAATTTGAAATTGAACAGCCAAAGTATAGAGCCTGGTCAGACTAGTAAACCAGCAATTTTAATATTTATCATTTTTTATCTACTCTCATTACATACATGCTATTTAAGGGCCGTATTTTAATTCAACCCATATTTTCAATGTTGATTTTTAACACTATGCCATTCAATCAGTTTTATTTCATGCATACCAAGGACTTTTAAGCACTTTTTTTTTTCTATTTTAAGCATTTTTCCAGAAAGGGGCTAAAATTTAAGCACTTTTAAGACTGTACAAACTCTTTTCTATACTGGTGGCAAAGGCTAATTACTTTCGTTCTTGCACATAAAGGGTCAAAAGAATATATGGGAAACGTACCTGACAGATGTTTTCATACCGAAAATCTAGACTGTTTCTCTTACTTCTCTCCTGTAACGACTGAATCTTAACAAAATCATTGTCAGAAAGTAAACTGATGCAATCCGACACGGTCTCGGCTCAGATCTAAGTCCCAGGCTTTTCTTTTCTCCCTTTTTTCTGGCGTACTCTGATTCTCTGGCATCAATTTTAAACCACTTTTCATAAAACTTCATCTGAAATCTATTTGGTCTTTAACCTCGGTTGATTCAGAGCTACTCTATCTTCCTATAGCTTTTATCTTTTATACTATCAGTTGTTTCATTCAATTTGAGAACAAATTCTGAATTATTCAGGTCAAACTAGTCCCTAGTTTTTCTAGTTCTTCACATGGCTTCCTAGACTGTAAGCGATCTAACACTGTCGAAAGTAAAGAGTCCTGCTGGAGCATTTAAAGGAACTATCACTTCCTTTGGTAGATCTTGAACTATTTCTACCATGACTTTGGTTTTCTGATTCATGTTTATCACAATTAGCATCATCAGCATTATTATTAACCACCTGGTCATCTTTACTATTATCATTCTTACATTGCACATTATCTTGACTTAGATTTCTTTCCTTTTCAACAACATACTCATCTTTACCAGTAGAGCTCAGGTCTTCCTCACTAATATGAAGTTGAACAGACTCTTTTTCCTCTTCATCATCATCATCTTCATTCTCCGTGAGATCAGATTTCAGTGAAATTTTATCTGTATTTTCTGAATCATTGACTTTCAACTTTCCATCATTTTTACTTTGAGTTACGTCCTCTACACTATTTGTATCTACATTAAGATTTTCTAAAGTTTCATTGCTTGAACAAAGATTCAAGTCATGAACTTGACCTTCAATCTCCTCTATGACCTCTGACCTTATTGCACTTGAATGACCTTGAGCCGAATCATCTCCGTCACTGTCTCCACTGCTACAGTGCTCAATTCCAGGTCTACGTGACATTCTGTGTAAATCAGAATCATCGTTACTTCTTAGACTCAAAGAATCCTCCGATGATAAAGTCAAGGTCGAAACGGCCTGTGACCCATATCCACTAGAGGTCATACTGGGAGTATAACCTTTACCATGACTTTCAGCAATACTATCGCACGTTCCGGAATGAGAAATCAAATTTACCTTTCCGTTTTCTCCAATATTTTCCGAATCAACATTATCCGCTGATTACGAATACTAATTGATTTCGAATGCGTTGACTCTCTACAGATTCATCAAAACTTCACAACAACTTAGCAGGGTTCACGCTTCAATAAGTTTCTTTATTCTTAAATTCTTCCTTTAAGTTCAACAGATCTTGTTTATTTTCAAGAACTTCTTGTTTTGAAGAACTACCAGAACGATTTAAGATTCGTCGTTACGTCTTCCTTCCCCAATTGGCCTGTTTTGGCCTGTTTCATGGCTTTCTGATTTTCCTTAATAAGATACAACAAAAATTTAATTGAAATGATAGTAATATACACTTAAATGTGCATATTAAAGGTTTAAAAAATTACCATGACTGAACATGAAAAGACTTCAATCCTACATAGCTTTTTTTTCGACTCTGCAAACAAGATCACACGCTGAGCATTTAAGCCTGAATAGTAAATAATTATAAGGTCATTTGATATTGACTTTTGACCTTGTGACCCCAATATAGATATGGATCTTTTATTCGATATAGGTAATCATCCTATGAAGTTTGAACACTGTAAGCAAATGGAACTTGTGTTATGCTCCAGAAACCACAATTTTCAGTGTTAAGGTCATTGTGACCCTGACCTTTGACCTTATGACCCTAAAATCAAATAAGGGGTCATGTATTAGACATGGCTGTTCATCTTATAGAATTTTACAGCTGTAGGTTGATTAATACTTAAGTTATTCAGCAAAAACCATTTTCAGTTTTAAGGTAATAGTGACCTTGACCTTTGACATTGTGACCCAAAAACTAATAGGGGTCGTCTACTCAATATTGACAATCATCCTATGAAGTTTGAACATTGCGGGCCAAATCAAACTTAAGTTATTCTTCAGAAACCACAATATTCAGTGTAAAGATCATTGTGACCCTGATATTTGACCTTATGACCCTAAAATCAATAGGGGTCATGATTGGACATGGCTGTTCATCCTTAAAAATTTTTTACAGCTGTAGGTTGATTAATACATAACTTATTGAGCGGAAACTGTTTTCCGTTTTAAGGTAATAGTGACCTTGACCTTTGACCTTGTGACCCCAAAATCAATAGGGGTCTTCTACTCAATATGGACAATCATCCAATGAAGTTTGAATATTGTAGGCCAAATGGAACTTAAGTTATGCTTCTGAAACCAAATTGCTTATGGACAGACATTCTTACCAGAGCTACATTATGGGGTTTTCTTTTGTTATTTCTTTTGTTCTTTTTAACCCAACAATGCAGAAAATAACCCCACAAGAGAAACGGAATGAATGACATCAAAAACATCTATTGTTATGAGAACAATAGACCAAACCCCATAATGTAGCTCTGGTTTGTACGGACGGACAGATGGACGAACGCCAGGGGGTATAACAGACTATGCCCGAAATTCTTTCGGGCATATAAAAAAGAGGATTTAATAAAAGTCAAATCTGACATTAAATTACAACTATAGATGCATTGATATAACAACTTCTCTTTTTGTCTGAACAAGTTAGGATAACACAGCTTCCACTGTTTATTAAGATAACTTGAGTTAGGGTAACTAACTTTACAAACATTAAGACAAGTTAGGTAAGGGTAACTTTATGAACATTATGACAAGTTAGGGTAACTCTATTAACATTATGACAAGTTAGGGTAACTCTATTAACATTATGACAAGTTGCTTTAGGGTATCTCTATTAACATTAAGACAAGATAAGTTAGGGTAACTTTTTTAACATTATGACAAGTTAGGGTAACTCTATTAACATTATGATAAGTTGTGTTAATGTAACTCTATTAACAATATCTATTAACATTATGACAAGTTAAATAAAGGTAACTCCATGAAATTTATGACCAGTTAAGTTCGGGTAACTCTATTAACATTATGACAAGTTGCTATAGGGTAACTCTATTAACATTATGACATGTTAAATTAGGGTAACTCATTGAACAATATGACAAGTTAGGGTCACTCTGTTAACATTATGATAAGTTAAGTTAGGGTTACTCTATGAACATTATGATAAGTTAGGGTAACTCTTTTAACATTATGATAAGTTAAGTTAGGGTAGCTCTATTAACATTATGACAAGTTAGGGTAACTTTATTAACATTATGATAAGTTAAGTTAGGGTAACTCTATGAACAATATGACAAGTTAGGGTAACTCTATGAACACTATGATAAGTTAAGTTAGGGTAACTCTTTTAACTAACAAGTTAAGTTAGGGTAACTCTATTAACATTATAACAAGTTAAGTTAGGGTAACCTTATTAACATTATGATAGGTTGAGTTAGGGTAACTCTAGTACTCTATGAACATTAACACAAGTTGAGTTCTGGTAACTCTACAAACAATAAGACAAGTTGAGATAGGGTAACTCTACCAACAATAAGATAAAGGTGAGTTAGGGTAACTCTACCAACATTTATACACATCTAATGTAGAGTTATATGTACAGACCATACCTGGTCAGTGTCTAGGAGTGGTTTGTGCTCGCGCTGTTGTTCTTCTCGCAATGTCTGTAATGGTTTCATTCCAACACTTAGCTTTGATGCCAGTGGGCTCAGAGCAGATTTTGGAGTCACTGAAATTTTAAAGACTTTTAATTAAACTTTAATGAATTCAATTAAATTATCAATTTGTTAATTGGCTCAAAACTTTCTAAGCTAATTCTTTTACCTTTTTCACAAACTTTTTTTTCATTTTAGTTTAGTCATATAAAAATTCTAATTCATATACAATGAAATGTATGTTATAAAATTAGAAGAATTAAAGAAAACTGGATAAAATATTATCATAATATTCATAATATTATCAATAAACATGTAGATTCTTATTTTAAAATATTATTGTAAGATTTTCTAAAGCATAAAAGCTGATAAAAATGCACTGGCAAAACAAGAAATTCATGCTTTCAATGCTATATCTGTAACAAAAATTGAAATATTTCGCAGCAATAATGCACTCTTACATGCTATTATGATTAAATGGCCCCTTTTGGGATTGTTCTAGTTTTACCCTTCTCATTTCTAATAAGTATTTTTTGAGTATCATTTTTATCAAAGACCTGAATGAAAATTTCTGCTCTATGGCCATGATATTTCTGTTTTATAAATTTTCTGGACAGAAACTTAAATTGCCCCGAATGTTGTATAATACCTGTAACAAATAATGCAATGGGAACATGACTAGATACTAAGTTACACTTGAAATTATAAATTACTGTTAGTTAAGTCTTATTCTGTAAGTGGATTATGAAATTTATTGCATAAACATAATTCATGTGTGATGTAACCATTTATTACTATGAAGACAGAAATGTGGGTAGTTTCATTAAAATAGTTCCACAAAAATATATACGAAAAATTCATAAAAGAAAACTGGTGAAGAGACTATGGAACAGACTGAACCCTTGATTTATCCCAGAGCTTGATAATTGAACGAGATCCTGGGAAATGTAGGAGTTAACAAGGAGGAAAATTTCATTCATTAATCAACCCTGTTTATATATATATCGACAGCTTGATGTGAAAGGATCATATTCTTCATTTAAAAAGAGTTACAACCCTTGCCCACCAAGCCGTCAATATATATATCGCGGTTTGAGACCTTGGACAACAGGGTGCCAATGTATTAAAATATCACAGAATTCATTGGGAATTCAAGTAATTACATGTCTTAAAGATCCACTTTCTGACAAACAACTCCTACTTCTAACATGAATTCATGACAGCCTAAAATATCAAACTGACCTTTACAACTTCTTTACAAGAGACAGACGTGGAGAACATACAAGGTAACACTGACTCAGACTCTTTTGAACAAGACAAACAATTATATCTAAAACTTGAACAGTACAGCTAAGCATAACAGGCCATGATATCACAATAATGATAATTGTACACAGACAAACCCAATGTAAATGGGCCAAAAACTGCCAATAGGTATACAGAAAATAAAGATCCAGTTCATGGTTTCTTTGAGATTGTTCCAATGGTGTTAATTAAGCTCCTGTTCAACAGAACTTAATTATTCCTTTGCTTGTGGGCATTTTGGTTACTTAAATCATGGCATGACTGCAATCAATGGATTCACGTATATCTTTGAATAAATATAATCCATGGATTCACTTAAATCATTGAATGATTGTTATCAAAGGATTCACTTAAATCATGCTGACTGCAAACCATGGATTTGCTTATATCATGGCATGACTGTAAGCCATGGATTCATTTAGAATTATTGAATGACTGTAATCAATGGATTCATGACTGTAAGCCATAGATTCACTTAAATTATTGTATGAATATATTCCATGGATTCACTTAAATTATTAAATGACTGTAATCAATGGATTCATTTAAATCATGCATGATTGTAATCAGTGGATCCATAAAATATAGTATGAGTGAAATTCATGGATTTACCCAAATACAGTATAACTTGTAATTCATGGATTCAGTAAAATATGGATATGACTTAACGTTTTAAACAGGAGATACAAACTGAATCTATCACATAAATGTCACACTGTATCACTAAAACAAATTGTGTATCTATCTAGCACACAAAAAATCATGTACATGTACACAGACGTAAACAAAAATTGTCCGCAAAATAAACTAAACGAAAGTATGAAATAAAATAAAATCAATACAGTTAAACAGTGTCATTCTTTAACAAATTTTCAACTACTTTCAATTAAGAACTAAAATAGTTGCACATAAAGCATAGAAGAATGGGTGAAGGCACAGGCTAAGAAAGAACACTATGTTTACCATTGAGGGAGGGCAGTTTCAAATCTAGAAAGCTGGGACGAGCTGTAAAATCAGGAGCATTTATTAGAAACATTAAGACTTGTTCTTTAGCTTTTTTTATGCTTTATTTCATATCTGGTTCTTACTTATGAATATTATAACAACCTTATCTTAGAATTTAAAATAGAAGGATTTTGGATTTTAATAATATCTAATATCTAAATTATCCTTTTTTTCATTTTTTTAAAAAAATGTTTTTCACCATATCAAAATCAAATGGCTTGTAAAATCCATTTAGTTAAAAAGTGGTTAAAATAACATTAATTAAATAAGAAGATATTCTGGAAAGATGGATTCAGCTTAAAACAAAGTGCAAATTGGCAAGGTTTCTTTCCACAGGTGCAAATTGGTTGGGTCTTTTTTTATTCTCATTTAGTACTCATAATATAGACTAAACTAAAGGGTATATCCAACATGTGCATAAGATCTATTATATCACTAGAATAATTGTATTAGATCTATCTATGTCATTAAAACTATTGCAATAGACCTATTTATATCATTAGAACAATTGCAATAGATCTAATTATATCACCAGAATAATTGGCTCAGATCTATATCACTAGAACAATTGTATCAGTTCTATTTATATCACTAGAACAATTGTACCAGATCTATTTATATCACCTGAACAATTGTATCAGATCTATATTCATCACTAGAACAATTGTATCAGTTCTATTTATATCTCTAGAACAATTGTATCAGATCTATTTATATCACCTGAACAATTGTATAAGATCTATATTTCTCACTAGAACAATTGTATCAGATCTATTTATACCCCAAGAACAATTGTATCAGATCTATATCACTTGAACAATTGTATCAGATCTATTTATATCACTAGAACAATTGTATCAGATCTATTTATATCACTAGAACAATTGTATCAGATCTATTTATATCACTAGAACAATTGTATCAGATTTATTTATATCACCTGAACAATTGTATCAGATCTATTTATATCACTAGAACAATTGTATCAGATCTATTTTTATCCCAAGAACAATTGTATCAGTTTTATTTATATCACTAGAACAATTGTATCAGATCTATTTATATCACTAGAACAATTGTATCAGATCTATTTATATCACTAGAACAATTGTATCAGTTCTATTTATATCACTAGAACAATTGTATCAGATCTATTTATATCACTTGAACAATTGTGTCAGATCTATTTATATCATTTACACAATTGCTATAGATCTATTTATACCACTTAAACATTTGTATCTGCTTTATTTCCATACCACTACTTTTCAATGGTAAACAAGAAAGTGAAATTTAGAAATAACAAACAAACATGTAGATTTATACATCATCATCAAACCACTTCTATAAAACTTCCAAATTATTGTACCATTTCATTTATTTGTTTTTATAATGAGATGTAAGTAATCAAGTAATATGTAAATTGGACGATACAAAAAAAAAAATACATTTCACAGTGAAATGTGATATCAAACTTAGGCGCTAGTTAAATATTACTTCTCAACAGTTATATGAAACATTTTGTAAGCAACTTTGGATTAAAAACATATTTTCTAATAATCTTTTTATGTCCATGTTGCCTACTGAAACACAAATTATCTTACTGAGTATAGACACAAATGTTTACTTTATACTTCAGGGCTTTTTTTACATTTTTTATTTTATTTTATTAACCTTTTCTTTGCTTTTTATCCAATTACATTCCTTTAATGCAGATTATCCAAATGTTTAAATTTTTCCCAATTTTGACTATGAATATTTTTTTTTCCCAATTCTGACTATAGATAAGCAAATTTTTTCCCAATTTAGACCTATAACCCCATTTTTTTTAACAGTCCAGACCAAAGCTCCAAATTTCTAAAAACTTGTTCAACTGCTATGTATTTTTTAAAATAACATCAAGTAAAAAGTCAGTGTCAAAAGCCCTGAGCATTGAGAAAAAAGTTCAAGAAAAGCAATTTAGAAATATCATTGAAAAGAAACAAGTTTCGTCAAGCAAAAAGAAGCTAAAAAATATCATTACTGCAGGTGAATTTTAGCATAATAATATGAGCGACACAATTCAAAGTACAGTGTATATAAAAATATATAACCAATGTAAACATACATGACCCAGTAGCATTTACACACTCACTCATCCAGGTAGCTTGGAAAATGTGTAATAATTAGCAAGATTAAAATACAACACACAAAATATATTGTAAGTAAAATTTCAATTTTCAAAATACCTAAATAATATTTCAATTTTCAAAATACCTAAATAATAATCGGAAAACATTTTTTCTTTCGATTTGTATTAGCTATTTTCGATACTAGGAAAGCATTATACAGGATTTGAGTTTAAAGGAATATGGTATAATGAAAATCAAGCAATCAAGTATAAAATTTTTTCTGCAAGCTGTACGAATAACTTCCTTACTTAAAGGTATTTGAAATGCCTCCAGCAGAAAAAAAAGTTCAATGTCCCGGGCGAAAAAAAGAAAGAAAAATAATTCAATACTTCTTGCAAGTTTAATATACCCAACATTAAACACCAAAATTTGATTCAGCCAGGGACACTTTACTATTCAACCAAGATGGCTAAATGTTTGGTTTTCAAGTAAAACACAAGGTAGTAAACAATGATAACTATACTGTATTCTAGGGTCAAGGACAGGAGTGATGAATCAAAAGCATTATGCCAGTCACATTAAATCATATTGGATATTTGATTTATTTGATTCTTATTTAAATTTAATTCTTCTTTTACAAGTTTGTATACATGAAAATAAGTCTGCTTATTAGAATGAAGCAGATTAAAAGACTTGGGTCTCCATTTATATATATGTATAAAAAAAAGTCTTGCAGAGCTACCAAAAAACTAGCTACTACCAGTAAAAAAGTAGAAGACCACAGGAAAAACAATACAACTATATAAATCCCCTTTTGCCATTATAGAAATGATTTGCAATAATAATTATGTTAAAAAGCAGTTAGAAAGTAGTAGACCATAGGAAAACACAAGATAAACAGCTAAATAAGCCCCCTTTTTTCCATTATAGCAATATTTTTCAATAATAATTACGTTAAAAAGCTTTTAGAAAGTAGCAGACAATAGGAAAAGAGACAACTGACTATATAAGCCTCCTTTTTTCCCATTTTTCCAATATTTTGCAATTACAATTATGTAGAAAATAGAAGACCATAGGAAAAACAAGTCAACTCATTTTTTTATATAAAAACCCCTTTTTTCCATTATACCAATATTTTGGAATAACAATTATGTTAAAAAGTAGTTAGAAAGTAGTAGACCATAGGAAAACACAAGATAAACAGCTATATAAGCCCCTTTTTTCCATTATAGCAATAATTTGCAATAATAATTATGTTAAAAAGAAATACAAATAATCACCTGCTGTTCCAGTGCGTAGGCTTGTATCATGCATAGACAGATCCTGTATACTCTCAAATCTCATCTAAAACCAAAAGGAAAAAAATAATACAACAATAATCAAATGGTTCAACTTTCAGACTAAAACGAGTTTTGTTTCAATTTCCAATTGTAAGATAAGGGGTGAACAGTTTGCCTTTTTCCCTATTTCATTGAACAGTTTGCCCTTTTTCCTATTTCATGGAACAGTTTTTCCCCTCCCCCCATTTCTTTGAACAGTTTGCCCCCCCATTTCATTGAACAGTTTGTCCCCTTCCCCCCATTTCTTCAAACAGTTTGCCTTTTCCCCCAATGTCATTGAACTGTTTGCCTCTTTTCCCAATTTCATTGAACTGTTTGCCTTTTTTCCTCTTTCATTGAACAGTCTGCCTTTTCTCTCTCCCTTTTTCATTGATCAGTTTGCCTTTTTTTTCTCCCCCTATTTCATTGATCAGTTTGCATTTTTTTCTCCCCCTATTTCATTGAACTGTTTGCCTTTTTTTTCCTCTTTCGTTGAACAGTTTGCCTTTTTCCTCCCCCTATTGCATTTAACAGTTTGCCTCCCCCCCCCCAATTTCATTGAATAGTTTGCCTCTTTCCTATCTTATTGAACAGTTCACCTTTTCCCTATTTCATGGAACAGTTTGCCTTCCCTATATTTCATTGAGCAGTTTTGCCTTTTCCCCCCTATTTCGTTTATCAGTTTGCCTTTTTTTCCCTATTCCATTGAATAGCTTGTCATTTTTCCCTATTTCATTGAACAGTTTTGCCTTTTATTCCCTTTTCATTGAACTTTTTGCCATTTTTTCCTTTTTCATTACCAGTAAACAGTTGGCCTTTTCCTATTTTATTGAATAGTTTGTCTTTTCTCTCCCTATTTCATTGAACAGTTTGCACCCCCCTCCCCACTATTTCACTGAACAGTCTGCCATCTGCCCCCCTATTCGCCGCCTGACATTCACCATACTATAACCTTTGTTTGCACCCAAGCAACCTGGCCAAAAATAATTCTCTAAAACAGCACATGCTTTCAAATGCCTTAAAGTTTTATCATCATCACAACACAAAACATCTAAAATGGACTTGTAATTCTAAACAAAACCATTCATTATTTTTAAGATAATTTTCAAAATAAGAACTAGTAACTGAATAGCAAACAGTGCAGACCATGATTAGATGGCAAAAGATTGCTGGATGATTTGGGTCTGCACTGATCACATAGGACTGGTATTAACTAAAATTAATTGCCACCAGACGGCTTGATAGTTTAAAATTTATATATTTCCAAAATTGTATCTGAAACCCTGTGGTATATTATGTTTTTTTTTAATGCTTTGCATGCAAGAAAACGTAAGTGTATACAACTGTATATCAATATACGTACCCTTTCTTCTAACCTTGGTGGGGTGGTCATTAACTGTAGAGAAAAACACATAAACACTGCATGAATAGCTTAACAACAAAGCAATATAAAAGGTTTAACACATCACTGTAAGTTTATAGGAATTTATCTTAGTTTGATTGTGTTGGAAGCTGTAAGCTAATTGCAACACTCTTGAATCCTTTCCTGGACCCAAAGTTACTGGAATCAACAAGTACTAAGCAATGCCACGACCAGCTATCCTTAAATCACTAGTTGATTGTGTTAACCACTCTGCCATGCCACCACTGTTATAACTCAATAAAATTTTATTACTTTCATTCATTTTCATAAGTCACACCAATAAACACTGTTTGTATCTTTTGATGGCTCTTCAGCAGAGAAAGCTAGAAAAAGCATAATAATGAGCCACGTCATGACAAAATCAACATAATGCGTTTGCGACCAGCATGGATCCAGACCAGCCTGCGCATCCGTGCAGACTGATCAGGATCCATGCTGTTCGCTATCAGTTTCTCTACTTGTAATAGATCCATGCTGTTCGCTTACAAACCCTATAACAAGTAGTGAAACTGATAGCGAACAGCATGGATCCTGATCAGACTGCGCAGATGCGCAGGCTGGTCTGGATCCATGCTGGTTGCAAACTTATTATGTTGGTTTTGTCATGGCCTGGCTCTATTTATTATATCATTTCATACATTCCATGTAACAGTAGAACCGCTGACCTATAATTACTGCAGGAAGCCTAGCTCAACCAACTTGAATAAGTTGCCACTTGTCTGGCAGCATGGCCCAGCAGTAAACACATCAGACAAGAAATCTAAGGATTCCTGGCTGCGTAGTGGGTTCAAACCCCATCAGAAGCAAGCCATTATTTCCCTGAGAAAGAAACTTTACACTTATTGTTAGGTACTGGTAAGTTCCAGGAACTGATCTAAGAGTGTTGCAATAAACATATGATTAGTTCCCAGAACGGATCCAAGAGTTTCTAAATAAGTTTATAGCTTCTAACATAATCAAACTAAAAATAAATTCTGTTTAAACTAATATGATGTCACAGTGTTGTGTTTAACCTCGATGACTTCTAAACTACGTGTACATGCATACCACCTATCTTAAGCAGTGATATCCATAGCACAGATCCCTTATTTCAACTTAAGTAAACCTGTATTTCTAAAGGCCACTCTCTCAAAAGCCAAATCAAGTGACTTGGTTCAGTTAAAATCTAATATAGCTAAAATGAAACAAGAGGGCCATGATGGCCCTGAGGTCGCTCACCTGTATATAGGCCCCCCCCCCCCCCCCAACGTTGCAGGGCCAATTTAACTTAAGGGCTTTTATTTGCACAAACTTGGTAGACACCCATAAGAAGATGTTTCATGCTAAACATCTAAGCTCTAGCTCATTGGGCTTTTTACAAAAAGATTTTTTTTAAAGTTTTTACTATACACATATAGTTAAAAATAATGACACCCCTGGGGCCGGGCCAGTTTTGACCCCAGGGCTTTTATTTGAACAAACTTTGTAGACACTTACTAGAAGATGTTTCATGCTTAATATCTAAACTCTAGGTATTTGGGTTTTTTCAAAGAAGATTTTAAGTTTTTGCTATACACATATAAAGAAAATCAATGACCCCCGGGGCGGGGCCAATTTTGACCCCAGGTCTTTTATTTGAACAAACTTTGTAGACACTCACTAAAAGATGTTTCATGCTTAATATCTTAACTCTAGCTATTTGGGTTTTTTCAAAGAAGATTTTTTAAGTTTTTGCTATACACATATAAGGAAAATCAATGACCCCCGGGGCAGTGCCAATTTTGACCCCAGGGCTTTTATTTGAACAAACTTGGTAGACACCTATTAGAACATGTTTGATGCTAAATATCTTAGCCATAGCTCTTTGAGTTCTTTAAAAAAAGATTTTTTAAGTTTTTACTATATGCATATAGGGAAAATCAATGACCCCCCGGGGCGGGGCCAATTTTGACCCCAGGGCTTTTATTTGAACAAACTTGGTAGACACTTATTAGAACATGTCTTTCATGCTAAATATCTTAGCTCTAACTCTTTTGGTTCTTTAAAAGAAGATTTTTTAAGTTTTTACTATATGCATATAGGGAAAATCAATGACCCCTGGGGCGGGGCCAATTTTGACCCCAGGGCTTTTATTTGAACAAACTTGGTAGACACCTATTAGAACATGTTTGTTGCTCAATATCTTAGCCATAGCTCTTTGAGTTCTTTAAAAGAAGATTTTTTAAGTTTTTACTATATGCATATAGGGAAAATCAATGACCCCCGGGGCGGGGCCAATTTTGACCCCAGGGCTTTTATTTGAACAAACTTGGTAGACACCCATTAGAACATGTTTCATGCTAAATATCTTGGCTCTAGCTCTTTGGGTTCTTTAAAAGAAGATTTTTTAAGTTTTTACTATATGCATATAGGGAATATCAATGACCCCCCGGGCGGGACCAATTTTGACCCCAGGGCTTTTATTTGAACAAACTTGGTAGACACCCATAAGAACACGTTTCATGCTAAATATCTTAGCTCTAGCTCTTTGGGTTCTTTAAAAGAAGATTTTTTAAGTTTTTACTATATGCATATAGGGAAAATCAATGACCCCCCCCCCGGGGCGGGGCCAATTTTGACCCCAGGGCTTTTATTTGAACAAACTTGGTAGACACTCACTAGAAGATGTTTCATGCCAAATATCTAAGCTCTAGCTCTTATGGTTTTTTAAAAGAAGATATTTAAAGTTTTTTCTTTCGGTTGCCATGGCAACCAGAGTTCTGCATGGAATTAAATTCTTTGAACAATTTTTAAAGGTGACCACCAAAGGAACATTCCTGTGAAGTTTGGATGAAATTGGCTTAGTGGTTTATGAGGAGATGTCATTTAAAGTAAAAGTTTACGGACGGACGACGGACGGACGACGGACGGACGGACGCCGGACGAAAAGCGATCACAAAAGCTCACCCTGTCACTTTGTGACAGGTGAGCTAAAAAAAAGCTTCTGGTATCATGAAACTTCGTTTTTACTTTACAAATTATTGTTACTAAATTATTAATTACATGTATATATATTATATATAAATATGTTACTGTTAACCATTACTACCCTTAATATCTTAAATGGACTTGTCCATCTTTCAATCTGGACAAAACCATTCATTGTTTTTCTAAGGAAAATTTCAAATATATTTACTGACTGAATATTGATCAGTGCAGACAATGTGGTCAGACAGCACACAATGTTCTGGCTGATCACGGCCAAGTCTGCACTGGTAACATGGTTAAAATCTATTGAGCCCAGCAGGTTTTGGGTTAACCATGAATTAATGTACATGATGACTTAAAATCTTGTTGGATAATTATGAAATTTTCTAAGATTTTGTTTCATTAAGTTCTTGACAAGTTTAACTACCAAATAAATGGCATTTATAATTTAATACATGGACATGTCTTAAACCTACAAGTATGCTATCATAAGAACTGTGTAAGAAATAGTGCTTCCTCTTACATGTTTTTTGCTTCCCTAAATTTCACAGTTTTTAAAAAATTTCTTTATATATAACTCGACAACAGTTCAATTTAGTATAAAGACTAAACATGAAGCAGTGTTCTGATTTTATGTCTAACTTGAATACATCTAGGTGAATGGTATAAGTTTATTATACATTTTTACATACAATATTGAATTTTATTGGACTAGTACACAGCTGTGAAACCTATATCGAACAAGGGGCTAACCGAGTCTGTTATAGGTTTTGTAGCTGTGAACAAGTCCAATAGAATCAGTATTGTTCTGAACAATGTATAATGACCTCTTTATTTCACACCACCATTTTTTTTGCATTTTGACACAACTTTGCTAATTCAAGTGCAATAAGGATTTGATATGGATTTTTGGACTCAAGAAAAAAGAGGCCAGATTGTAATACTCATTGATTTTTATGAAATTAAAAAATGAAATTGAGGCTAAATGGGGTTCAACATGCATTTGACATGGATTTGTTGGACTCTGTAAATTAGAATGAGACTGAATTGATGATCGGATCCAATATCTATTAGAATATCACATGGTGCAAACACTGAAAGTTCGCTGTTTATATTTTTTAAAGGTGTGAAATAAAACATGTTACAAAATCACACTTCAAATCAAATGTTATTTTCAAATTGTGACCAAAAAAAAAACACATCACAAAAGAAACATATCCGTATAATACCAGATGTGAGCTACCAAAGTTTAATAAAATCCCTGCAGTTAAAAGTAAAAAACACTCGAAAGACTAGCTTTTCAGTCTTGATTTAGGGGAGACCTTACCTCTGCTTTTCTTTGCCATGGGAACTGTACAAAAACATTCCATTCTTATAAATTATTTTCAAGTTATGAGCATAAAAATTTTGAACAATTTTAAGTTTTGCCAGCAACTGAGATAGTACTATTCTATGATGGCGATATCTTTTGCCATGATAAAATCTAGTTATAAAATCTTAATTTCTAATTATGAACCCAATTACTTTTATCTAAATAGAATACCGATACTTTCTTCACTGTAATTTCTCCTCTTTGGCGTGATAATGTTACTTTAACATCTTCCATTAAAACAATCTTTTTTAATGTAATTTTATTTTTCTTTATAACTTTTTTTAGGTTTTTCTATTGATAAAAAATTTAGAGAAAAACAATTTTTGTTTGCAAATCTAAACTGTATAAAGCACTTAAAGCCCTAAACTAGCTGTATCCAGCAAGCCCTTCCCAGATTCTTAGCTTAAACCTTCAATTGCTTAACAAAAGAATGTCATAGAACCAAATCAAGAGTTTACATACCTGATGTATATTTGGAACACTTGTGGTTTTACGGAGTGACTGCCCCTGTTTAGCCATTAATTCTTTTACAGCAACTTCCTGTAACATATTACACAACCATGAAAATCAAATTTCACATTCTATATCTGCTTTACAAACAAGCAAAAAATTTTAACCTCTTCCTAAAGCCCCAGTCACATTAGAGTTTACGACCAGTGAAGACCAGTTCACGATCACCAGTGATCTCTGGTCGCAGATAATCTTTAAAATGTCTTATGATGGTCATTGGTGATCTTTGACAGTCGCAGGTTATATTATTTCAATTTCAGTCGTAGAGAGGTTTTTGAGCTTGCACAACAACCTCCTTGCGATCAAACAGGTCGCTAGTGATCTTACAAGGTCTTAGGCTGTCGCACAATGGTCGTTTGGAAGTGCGACAATCTTTACAAATTGCCACTAGTCACTGATAATCTTGAGTAGTCTTTAGTAATCGTGTGATGGTCGTACGACAAGTTGTAGGTGATCGCATGACAGGTCACAGGTAGTCGTAAGTAATCCCAGGCAATCTTTAGACCATCGTACGTTTGCTTATGACCTGTCGTGAGATTGTCAATGATGACTTGTCTTACAATAGTCGCAGAAGTAAATTTATTTGTGCAAAAATGGTTTTGGTCGCAGACAATCGCTGATGATCATCAGTTTTACAAGTCGCCGGTGGTCGCAAGTAATTGTAAGCTCTAGTGTGACTGGGGTTTAAGAACAACCTAGGAAATAATTATCGTTTTCTGGAGAAAAAATAAGTTAAATTATCCTATTATCTTTTCCAAGTGTACACAGAATAAACAGTTTGAGATAAAAGAGATTTAATATGTTTTCATATTGAGGTCATTTTCCTCAAAATTATTTTTCTGGAAAAACAGGGTCATCAAATGATCTGAAATTTTAACATAAGAAATTGATAAAGACCTACATTTGTACATCAATCTCAGAAATATTTCCAGTCTTATCATGTCCGACACCCCCCCCCCCCCCCCCAAAAAAAAAAACAACAAAAACTTCAATGGAGTCCTTTTGAAATTCTAAAATAAATAAAATAAATTACAAATTGTGCTAACCTGTCTAAGTCGGTCCAGTGTAAGTATACTTTCTACAGCAGATACACCTTTTATATATTTTTCTATGTACGTTTCACCATCGGCTGCACTCACTTCATTCTGTGATGCCGCCATCTGGGCGAGACTTTCCATATGCTCTAAATCTTCAGATGCCTGGATAGTCGAAACAATAAGTAAACCTTAGTTAAGTAAACCTTATTAAACATGAGTGAGACTAAAAAAAAGTGTTGGAGAATCACACTAAATGCTGATTAGCGGCATATACCGGACATCCGACAAGGCACTTGAGTAAATAACATGCTAAAATTTTGACTCTTTACTCGCCAAAATGCACTTTAAGACTTCTAATTCATCTCTTCACACAGATTTATATAAGTTAATGGATAAAAAAAATTTAAAATATTGATGAAAAAAGTGATATTTTTCTATTTTGTGATCATGATTTCTGCAAGCATCTAGAGGTACTGTTCCAACACTGTAGTGAGTTAAATCCATTAAACTTAACCCTTAACATGCTGAATATATTAAATGGACTTGTCCCACTTCCATTTTTGGGACTGTTCATTATCAATTTTAGGGATATCAATTTGAATATTTAAAAGTTTGTAAGCCAACAGTATAGAGCCTGGTCAGACTGCACAAAAGTGCAGGCTGGCCTGGCTCTATACTGGTGGCAAAGGCTTTATGCTTTCGGTTCCAGCACTTTAAGGATTAACTTGTCAATGAATATTTCTATGTAATGAAAGTTGTATGCCATGGAATGGTAGTAGTTTTCGGCCCAGTCTGCACTGACCCATAATACCTGCAGGGGAGTAGATCATTACCATCAATTATCTAAGGAAACACAATGGTTTCCTTTCCAATCAAAGTTGCTTCCCTTTATTTATAAACTTAAGGATTTCAGTGATGATGAACAGCAGCCCACAGCTTAGAAACTAAGTTTTAAAACCTTAAAGTGTTATCAGCAGTTATCACGTAAACTTAATGTGACATGTATAAGCAGCTACCAGTTACAAAGGCTTTTCTTTTATGTCAATTCAAAACTGGTAAGAAAAACAAACTTATCTAGGAAAAATTATCATATTTTTTCAAAACAAATTTATCTAGGAAAAATCAATTTACAGTTTTAATGTACCCATACAATATATAACATGTGAATATGTCACAAAATATAAATTATCAATAATAAGGTAGGAATATTAAGTATGAATGGCAGGACACCTGACCAGGATTCAAAGAAAGGACAAGAAAAACCTTTCTTGCATATCAGACTGGCATTTACGTTAGTTTTACCCATGCCGGAAATTTCATCTGGCATGGGGGGTTCCAGATGAGTCGCGTGCTGTACAATGGCACGATAAAGATGACGTCATTTTACCGTTATGAATTATTTTGTAATTCATACGATGTTGTATGAAAGTAGTTACGGTTGTAATGATATAAATTTTCATTGAAAATAAAGATAAAGAATTTAAAAAATAATGGAATATGCAAGAAAAAATATCTGACATATGTTTGCGGTTCGGATCGGAATATCCCTCCCTCGGTCACCCGCCCATGGGCGGTAACTCGGCAAGCCTCGTTACCGCCCAATGGGCGGGTCACCTCGGGACGGATATTCCGATCCGAACCGCAAAATATGACAGATATTATTATTCCCAGTCTCTCTTCAATGAGAAAAAATATAATTATATAAAATGAACTCTACATATAGTACATCCTACCTTTGGAATGTTTGATACAACATCAAATGTGACACCACTAGCATGTAGGCTTTCCTAAAAATATACAGAAAATGTTCATTTAAGTGTTATTTAATATAGAGACATTTAAATATAAGACTCTATTTTACTTGTGTATAACATTTGTGTATATGTGAAAGACAATTTTTCAGTCATAATCCCAGCAGATAAGTTAGAAATTTCAATAACTGGTAACCAAGATAAACTGAAAATCTAAGAAAGTAAAGATTGATTTTAAACATTACATGTCAAGAGAAGAATTTTGTTTTTAATCTAGATTTTTTTCGATTGCATGCTATCTTATCTTGTGCGGTATGGTCCTTACAGACAAGTTATTCCAGAATAGAATATGTTGTTGTGCTATCTTAATATATATATATATACATGTATATATATATAAAGTAAATGTTAACTAGACCTATCACTGAAGGTGATTAATACCCCCACCAGCAACTTTTTGAAAAATAAGTAGTCTGAAGAAAAATTTCAACACAAACTATCAACTGTGTACAAAGAAATATTTCAATTAATTGTAATCCCAACTGCGTCTCCAAATAAGCTTGCTTTTCACAAAGTTTGATTACAATATCTCATTCCTAACTCTAGTTATTGTCCGGAAACCATTTTTCTATTTTTAGGAATGGTGACCTTGACCTTGACCCCAAGGGGTCCAAATGCAATACCAACCCAGGTCTTCATATAAGCTTGCTATACACCAAGTTTGATAACAATATCTCATTCCTAACTCTAGTTATTGTCCGGAAACCTTTTTTCTATTTTAGTAACGGTGACCTTGACCCCAGGGGGTCCAAAAACAATACCAACCCAGGTCTTCATATAAGCTTGCTATACACCAAGTTTGATTACAATATCTCATTCCTAACTCAAGTTATTGTCCAGAAACCATTTTTCTATTTTTAGTAACGGTGACCTTGACCTTGACCCCAGGGGGTCCAAATGCAATACCAACCCAGGTCTTCATATAAGCTTGCTATACACCAAGTTTGATTACAATATCTCATTCCTTACTCAAGTTACTGTCCGGAAACCATTTTTCTATTTTTAGTAACGGTGACCTTGACCTTGACCCCAGGGGGTCCAAATGCAATACCAACCCAGGTCTTCATATAAGCTTGCTATACGCCAAGTTTGATAACAATATCTCATTCCTAACTCTAGTTATTGTCCGGAAACCATTTTTCTATTTTTAGTAACGGTGACCTTGACCTTGACCCCAGGGGGTCCAAATGCAATACCAACCGGAGTTTCCACATAAGGTTGCTATATACCAAGTTTGATTACAATACCTCATTCCAAACTCTAGTTATCGTCCGGAAACCATGATGTGGACCGACCGACGGACCGACCGACCGACCGACCGACCGACCGACAAGCTGACTCCTATATACCCCCCCTAAACTTCGTTTGTGGGGTGACCTTGACCTTGACCCCAGGGGGTCCAAATGCAATACCAACCCAGGTCTTCATATAAGCTTGCTATACGCCAAGTTTGATAACAATATCTCATTCCTAACTCTAGTTATTGTCCGGAAACCATTTTTCTATTTTTAGTAACGGTGACCTTGACCTTGACCCCAGGGGGTCCAAATGCAATACCAACCGGAGTTTCCACATAAGGTTGCTATATACCAAGTTTGATTACAATACCTCATTCCAAACTCTAGTTATCGTCCGGAAACCATGATGTGGACCGACCGACGGGACCGACCGACCGACCGACCGACCGACCGACCGACCGACCGACCGACCGACAAGCTGACTCCTATATACCCCCCCTAAACTTCGTTTGTGGGGGTATAAAAATCAAAGAATTCTTTTAGTATGGTTGGTTAAACATTTAACACAATTATTAGCTCACGGTTTAAACAGTTTTGCTAACTGCGACACCCCTTATGTAAATAAGTGAAAGATATACTATGCTCATTTTTTAAATATTTTAATTACATAAATTTACTGAAATCTATGAAATTCTTACTGAATATGTCTAATTTCAATAAAAGAATTTATAAACTACATATGAGAAGCTGAGTTCCCAAATACGGGACAAGTAAGGTTGGTCCTTTCTACTGCAAGGTTTTTTTTAATGACACTATATATTCATATTGTGAACCCCTGAAGTGTGAAGGATTTAAAAACATGACATATATACTTTGTGTGAATCAAAACATGTTTATTTTATATTTACAAAGAGACTGTGTAGCAATTATCAATATTTTCTAATATCAACTTTGAGCATATATCTTTAATGTATTGCCTTACCCCACCCATCCACATTTTCTTCTTCAGTTTATCTGTGAGACTCATGTTACGATGTTTAATGTTAACGCAGATTCGTTTACGCAGCACAACCTCCATGTACGCCGGATGACTCAATCGTAACACGATCTTCAGTATCAGGTACACACGATTATCTGCCCCTGTTATACGGTTCAGGTTTGCAGAATCGTGGATCGAGGAATCCCAGGATGCTATTGCACAAACCTGAAATGAATATTAACAAAAGTCAGCCTTAACAAGTAACTGTATTGAAAGGGGGAGGGGGGATGATTGCATTCAGCTATAAATATTTATAGATTGAAATTCGGGCTTCAGATTTTCCTAATAATTTATGTTAGCCCATATTTTTTACAATGGCACAAATTTTTTGGGTGCTTTTAAAGTAGACCATTTAGCCCACATTTTTCAATGTCCAAAATGTTTCGGGTGCATTAAAACTACCCCATTTAGCCAACATTTTTCAATATTCAAAATATTCAATTTTGTATATACAGTAGAAGAGTAAAAAATCTAAAACTTGCAGACTATCAATCATTGTTGAGTGTACCCCACCAAGAGTAAGGCACCTACTTTAGTACTACATTATAATACTTCAGCTGTTCCAACAGACATGTTCAAATTAATGAAATAAACCATTAAAATAACACGAAAATCCACAAAGTGGCAGGAAATAAATCAAATTCTGAACTTGTTTTCTAACTCAGACAAAACAAGATTGCATTTGAGAAAAATGCTATGCCACCGCATGGTTCAAATTTCATAGCTGTACATAAAAGGACAAGAAAGTAGGTCACATCATCAAAATCTAGGTCACCTGATATCAAAGTTCAATTTTACAACTAAAACTGTGCACATTGTCAAAATGTCATTGCTGTACATCAAAGGACAAGAAAGTAGGTCACTGTCCCCTTGGGCAAGGCATAATTTTGACCCAAGGGTTTAATTCAAAACAATTTTGATACAGGTCCACCAAACAACATTTCAAGTCAAATATCTAAGCTATAGCTTTCTCCCATTCAGAAAACATTTGTTTTATTTTCTGTTTTTACTATGTGTACATAATGAGAATCACTGCCCCCTGGCAGGGCCAATTTGGACACCAGGGGAAAATTTTGAACAACTTTGGTAGAGGACCTATAAATGATATTACATATCAAACATCAAAGCTCTATGCCTTGTACCTTCAGACAAAAAATATTTTTTTATTTTTTCACTATATGTACATAATGAAAATCAATGACCCCCGGGGCGGAACCAATTTTGACCCCAGGGCTATAATTTGAACAATCTTGCAAGAGGTTCACTACACAATGTTTCATGCAAAATATCTTAACTCTAGCCTTTGTGAATTTAGAGAAGATGATTTTTTAAGTTTTTACTATATACATATAAGGAAATCCTATGGCCACCGGGGGCGGGGCTAATTTTGACACAAGAGGCAAAATTTGAATAACATTTGTAGAGTACCTTTAGATGATATAATTTAACAAATATTAAAGCTCTAAGCCTTGTACCTTCAGACAATAAGATTTATTTATTTTTTACTATATGTATATTTTGAAATCAATGACCTCAAGGGCGGGGGGCAATTTTGACCCCAGGGCTATAATTTGAACAATCTTGCTAGAGGTTTACTACACAATGTTTCATGCAAAATATCTAACCTCTAGCATTTGTCAATTGCTACAAGAATTTTTTTTGAAGTTTTTACTATATTAAGTTTTTACTATTATACATATAAGGAAAACCAATGACCCCCGGGGCGGGGCCGATTTTGACCCAAGGGCTATAATTTGAACAATCTGGGTAGAGGTCTACCAGACAATGCCTTATGCAAAATATATAAGCTCTATGCCTTTTGGGTCTTTACAAGAAGGTGTTTTAAGTTTTTACTATATGTACATATAGTGAAAATCAATGACCACAGGGCAAGGCCGATTTTTACCCAAGGGCTATAATTTGAACAATCTTGGTAAGGGTCTACCAGACGATGCCTTATGCAAAATATCTAAGCTCTAAGCCTTTTGGGTTTTTACAAGAAGGTATTTTAAGTTTTTACTATATGTACATAGTGAAAATCAATGACCCCCGGGCGGGGCCAATTTTGACCCCAGGGCTATAATTTGAACAATCTTGTTAGAAGTCTACTAGACAATGCCTTATGCAAAATATCTAAGCTCTAGGCCTTTTGGGTCTTTACAAGAAGATTTTTTAAATTTATTCTTATAATTCCTTTTGGTTGCCATGGCAACCAGATTTCTGCATGGAATGAAATTCTTTGAACAACTTTGGAAGCCCTTCACCCAAGGAACAATCCTGCCAAGTTTGGTTGAAATTGGACTAGTGGTTTTTCACAAGAAGATTTTTTAAGTTCACTATATAACCTATATAACACACACACAAACACACACACAAACACACACACACACAGGTGAATCGCTATATGCCACCGCATCGCAGATGCTGCGGTGGCATAAAAAGAGTTCTTTCAAACATAGACAATTTTTTTTTTTCCCCCCCACTGCACTTTAATGTGATATATATATAGAGAGAGATATAGATAGATAGAAACAGACACCTAGATGTCCCTAGACAACATAACAACCTCCTTACCCTTGCAGAAATATATACTGGTATTTAAAAAGTCTCAGTATTTCCCAGTTATGATCCTAGAAAATTCCAGAATGTTAAAACCAGTCTTGGCTATTCTAGTATGGCCTAGGAAATACCAGTTACTGAGAACTAGGCATTTCTGATAATTTTTAAACAACTCATCAATTTCTAAGTTATACTAGGAATTGTAATTTATTTTCTGAGATTTCTAAGACTTAAGATTTTGCAAAATTCCTAGTCTTTAGGAATTACTTAGAATTTATCTTGTAGAACAAAATCCTTAACATCTGTGCTAAATTCCTTGAATCTTACATAAATTCCTAAAGACTAGGAATTCTCTTTGTTGAAAGTAAACAAGTAGATAAAGAAGGAAGACAATAAAATTGAAAATAAAAATGTTTTCTTTTTTTAAATAAAACAACATAGGGCCTACTGATCTAGATCTATTTAATAATATTTTTCTAGGATTACTATTATTATTTAGATTCTAATTGAAATTTAATAATCAATTGACCTTAATGGTCAACCTGCATTTATGACAATTTAATCATTGGCCATTTAATTAATAGATAATAGGAATATATAATCCAAAAAGAAATAACAAATGTACAGGCACTCCAAGTAAATCAAAGACGTATTATTATAAACCTTAAAAAATCAATAATTGACATCTGAAGTATGTAATTTTTATCAGTTGTGTAGAGCTATTTTTAGCGCTGTCAAATTGCATCCACTGATGTCATGCTTCAGTGCACAGGCTGTATAAACCACTTTATACATTATACTGCCTGTTGACATTTTTATGGAGTGTGATTTGAACATATATGTAGATCTAATTAGGGGTGGATTTAAGGTGATTATTATTGCATAGTTGAAAATCCAAAGTGGCAAATTGACTCTTGTGCAGATTTTTTCACGTGTCATATTTGTGCATTTCCAAATTTTCACGAGTCAAAACCCGAATCCCCGCGTCAATCGAGAGTCCTGAATTAAAGTAGGCTGACGGATATTAACGATGATAACTTAGTCTTTACTTAACCAGCGAACCTTTACGATTATACTCGAGCAATATCCGTATATTTACGCTAACCAAGACGAGCATAATTTCATGACGTATTGGATACGTATACTGATGACGTAGCAACACAATTGTTTTGGAAACTACTGTAGCTTTGTATAAAATTCAAGCGCTTGTTGGGCTTAAAATAATAGATTTTTGAAATAAAATTCAACGATATAATTGAAATTATTCAGTCATTGTATTGACGGCAAAAACAACAGAACTACACGAAATTTTGTGAATCAAGCACATGTTACTGACGTAGTACACATGTTTATTACGTAGAACACAGGTTTATTGTGCGCGCAATATTCAAAGACGGCAGACACTTCGTCTCATATCAACAGTGAACTGATATCGTCTCCCCAATAAAGACATACAACGAGGAAGGTGAAATTGCTCAAGCAAATTATCAGAAGAAGACCTTCAAAGATGCAATCGGTGAAATTCACTGTGAGTATTATCATAAATACACTGATTTTTTCCCAAACAGAGCCGGCGTGTTTATGACCCCAAGAAAAAATGAAGAGTCAGTAGAGATTATTTTAATGACCTTTCTTCACTTCTAAATTAAAAGCATTATTTTGTAACAATTTGCCGACTGTAACAATAGAAATAATAATTGTATTTCCAGCTTATTCCTAGTTACAGTTAAGATACTTAAACCTTACTGGAAAAAATGCGTAAACGGACATTTGTCACATATTTTCGCGACCTGTTTTTATTTATTTCTTTGTTGAATAGGAAAGATATAATAATAATGAATAAAAAACAAAGCATCGTTGAAGATGGTTGTGCTTCCCTGCAGGAAATTATTTGCTTATGCCCTCTAAATGTTTAAAATATTGTTTTGAAAAAATGCATGTTAGCAGGTTTTTTTTTACCCCCCCCCCCCCACAGTGGTTTAAAATATTGTTTTGAAAAAATGCATGTTAGCAGGTTTTTTTTACCCCCCCCCCCCCCCACAGTTCAATACCCTAGTATGCAGACAGTTCACTACCTTAGCAATTTTGCACTTGTATTAGAAAAAAATAGTTTTTCATAAAGAAGCAATATTTTTATATCACCATTAATTTATGTAGATCTAGTTATATATTAGAATATGATAAACAAGATCAACAAGAAAAGATGATGTTCAATAAGCCTACATCATGTCTGTATTTTAATATAACACATTACTGACCGTATTTTTAAATCACAATAAGATACCTCCAAAAATTTATTTGAAACAGAAATCATGTTTTCTGTTTGTTTTTGATTTGTATGTGTGTGTTTGTGTGTGATTTAATCTCTAGATTTCATGTATAGGAATTATTGGACCACTAAAAAGTTGTCGGCCCCCCAAAAACCCCCCCCCCTGAACCAAAAATGGTTTGTCTTTGACACGCCTAAGCCCACCTAGAGAAACTGAATACTGGTCCCTTAAAAAAAAATCCTTTTTTTTTGCAAAGAACAAAATGCCAAACAGTGCTGCATACTTAACATAAAGAATACATTGCCCTAACCAGTCATTGAATTTAAGTTTTTTTAA